ATGCCCCCACCTCCCATGCCCCCACCTCCCATGCCCCCACCTCCCATGCTTGGCAAATCAGCACAGCCTCAGAACCAGTGTGAGCTGTGAGCAGGCTTCTAAATCCAGGGAAAGCTTCACTTGCGGGGCTCGCACGCAGGGCACAGACTCTGTCCTCCAGTCCCACGTGGCCTCCTCTCCTCCGGCTGACCTCCAACCTCTTGCCACCTCCTCTGCAGACTCTTTTGCTCCTACCCAGCTGTTGGTGTCAGAGCTCCTGGGGGCTCACTCCAAGGGCCCTTTTTCTTCCCGCGTCCCCTCAGTAAGAGTGGCTTCCAGGCCCACAGGCGGCTGATGTCCCACCTGGTCTCTATTCCAGCTCCCCCCTCCCAGGGCGCCTCCAGTGGGGTCCCGCAGGCCCCTCCTGCCCAGCACAGCCCAAGAGAGCCCGCTCCCGTGCCCCTCGTCTGTGCGCTGCCAGCACATCACCCAAGCCAGAGGGAGGCACCATGTGGCCCTGCGCGGGGGGGCCCGGGTCTGTCACCATCTCCTCCACTCTCCGGCAGCCCTCCATCCTCCCCCTTGCCACACTGTCAGCGTGGAGCTGCCGTGGCTCTGCCCCAGTTTCTTCAGAGTCTGCTGACTGCAGGTCCCCAACGCTTCTCTCTAATAGCCCTTGTTGCTCCCTGCTTCAAACCAGGGTCTCTTCTCCACTGCTGGACTGGAGCCCAGGCTCCTCACACACTTGAAAAGACACGTCCTTGCTGACCCTCCATCTTCAACCCCTCTAAGTTTATATGCTCACCCTTACTGGTGCTCCTTGGCTGGAGGTGGGGGTGTGAGCGGCTGGCCCCCCCGCTTGCTTGGCCTCCCTAAATTCCCTCACTCTCAGGTTCCTCTGGCCGTGGCTGGGCTGACCCAGAGCACCCCAAGCTCACGTTCAAAGGTTCAGGCCAGACCCAGCTGCTAGGCCCCATAAATGAGGATTAGGCGACCCCCTTTGAGGCGGGCGGGTGGGCTGTGAGAAGAGTTGGTTTGGTAGAGATTTTATGGCAGGATCACATTTCGTCATCAGACCCCCCTCTGAAGCCAGCCAAGGGCAGGTCAGGGGCAGGGGAGTGGGAACTTGAGCTGCTCCATCAGCTCGGAGCACAGAGCTGCTGGCACAGGAGGGAGCCGGGGCTGGGAATCAGGGGCTCATGTCCCGCCTCCCCTCTGCCGCCCCCCACTGTGTGAACTTGGGCACATCCGTCCAATCTCTGGGCAGTGGTCTGCAATGTGGGGCCCCAGACCAGATGGGTTCTTGGGCCAGTTCATTTCTAGGCTGCCAAGTCCTCCTCAGTCTGAGCCATAACAAAAGCATGACTTCCCATAAGGTTGCAGAGCTATATCATATCCATACAAACTCAGATTAAGGTTGCCAGATAAAATACAGACTGTCCAGCTGAACTTGAATTTCAGGTATACGACAAATAATTCTCAGTATAAATGTATCCCAAAGATTGTGTAGACACACTTATATTGAAAACTATTCAAGGGGCACCTGGGTGGCTTAGTTGGTTAAGCATCCGACTTTGGCTCAGGTCATGATCTCACAGTTTGTGGGTTCAAGACCCGCATCAGGCTCTGTGCTGACAGCTCAGAGCCTGGAGCCTGCTTCAGATTCTGTGTTTCCCTCTCTCTAGGACCCTCCTTTGCGCGCGCGCTCTCTCTCTCTCTCAGAAATAAATAAAAAACATTTTTAAAAAATTTAAAAACTATTCAAGAGTGCCTGGGTGACTCTGTCAGTTAAGCATCCTACTTCAGCTCAGGTCATGATCTTGCAGTTCATGAGTTCAAGCCCTGCATTGGGCTCTGTACTAACAGCTCAGAGCTTGGAGCCTGCCTCAGATTCTGTATCTCCCTCTTTCTCTCTCTGACCCTCCCATCCTCCCCCACCTCTAAAAAATAAATGAATAAAAAATTTTTAATAAAAAAATCTATTCATTGATTATCTGAAATTCTATTTAACTAGGTGTCCTGTATTTTTATTTGCTAAACCTGGCACCCCTGCCCTGGATGCACTGGGATTCAAGGGCCATGGCTTCCTAGTCCATCTAACCAAAACAGGTTAGGTTTGGACGGGTTAAGAGGTCTTAGGAAATCATCAAGTTGGGCAGAGGTCAAGAGCCAGTGGGGATTTTGTGAAAGGTGCTCCAGACAAAGGGAACGGCATTGGCAGAGATCTAGAGGTCAAATGATATTGGACATGTTCCAGGAAAGGCTCATAAGGAGTCTGAGGTGTGGGGTGTAGGCTTCAAGTGGCTGAAATGTGCCTGAAAAGATCAGGTAGAATCATATCACAGCATGTCCAATCCATGCTGCTGCGGACATTAGGGGAGGGGACCCAAAAGAGGTCTGAGTTGAAGCAGGATCACAGCCAGACACTGGAATACGGGGCACAGAATCAAACCATCCAGAGACTAGGGAAAAGGAAACTGGTATCACCAGGGAGGAGGGACTTCCAGGATCCTCCAGGGAATTTGGGCTCAGATCTATTCTATGTACGGAATAAATGACAAATAGCAGTCAGTAAACAGTAACTTGCCATTATTATTAGGTGCTTAATAAATGCTGTGGTTTGGTACCAACTGACCTCACCCCCAAACTGCCCCCATGGGACTGGAGCCATTTCTTACCAACTGGGAGCCCAGATATGATAGGACTGTGGCAGCTGGAAGAATTCACCCTCTGCCCAGCTCTGCCATCCTTTCCTGGCTCCTTTGTCCAAGATCAATGAGAGGTAAACCATTAGGGGGAATATTACGAACACAAGGACATTTCAGGGACCCAGTGAAAATTACCTTAGGGAGAGGGGATGCTTTATAAAAGCGATCCATTTACACAAATTTTTCATGTTATTCTCACAGCAGTTCTAGGTGAGTGCTTAAGCTCCACTTTAGAGATGTGAAAAACAAAGTCCAGAGAGGGAAAGTCTTTTGCACAAGGTCCTCACTAATAGTAGGAGAGGCCAGGTTTCAAATTCAGGACCTTTTTTCCTTACATAAGACTGAGTCTGTGGATCAAAGCAGCAGAGACTGAGCCCAGTGCCCACATCAGCCTGTGCGGGCATCCTGACTCCTGCTAATCCCATCCCACTCAGCAGATACCGAACCTCTCGTGACCTGGTCCATGAGGCTTTGGAACCCAATATGCCTCCATGTCACATATGTGCCTCTTTCTAAAGTGTGAAAAGGCTAGAAAATTCAGAAACCTTGGATCCAGTCTCAAATCCCCCAGTTCTTGGCTATATGGTTTCAACTTTCTGAACTTGTACTTCCTCATCTGGAAAAAGAGTATAACAATGTCCTCCTCCCAGGAATGTTGTGAAGGTCCAATGAGACAATGTATACGAAAGTGCTTTCTAAACTGGAACCCATGGTGCAGACTTCCTTCAGTGCCTACACCACAGATAAACAATAGCAGCTTTTAAACTTCAAAGCTTTTTCCACTTGAAATCTTCCAGATTCGTGGGGTGGCCTCTGGTCTAACAGACAAATCTAGCTTACAGCTGATTTGCCAGGCAGGAGTGATTGGTGACACTTCATTTACTCACTTGTCAAACATTTGCTAATCTCTTCTGTGTCCGGCTCTGTTTTGAGCATGGGTGAATTGAGACATAGTCCTTGCTCTTGGACAGGTGGCCAGTGGGGGAGACTGAGACAGACAATAAAGTTATAGTTATAATCAGTGTTCAAGTATGAGCAAGTATAAAAACATTATAAACAAGTGAGGAGAACTTGTCTGAGATTTGGAGAAGGCTGTCAGATAAGACTTCTATGAAGGGAATATGTGCACAGGGTCTTAAATTATTTATACCTTCATTCATCAAATATTTACGGATATCTTCTAAAGTACTGGGATGCATCAGTGAGCAAAATAAATAGTCCCTGGAGTTTAGTTCCCAAGGAGTTTAGTGGAGAAGATAGACAATAAAAAGATGAACAACTAAATTATAACTATATAATATCACATCATGTATAATATATGCATGTGTAATATAATATATAAATAGGTTATAAATATAATATCAGATGTTATGAAAAAAAATAAAGCAGGGTAAAAGAATAAAGATTTATAGGGATAGAGGGGCTATTTTATGTAAATTAATCAGGAAAAGAGTCTAAGAAACTGACAGCTGAGCACAGATCTGAATGGAGAGACAGCATAAGCATAGAATGATAACAAAAATACAACATAAAATAGTAGATGGTAACTAAAGCAATGCTTAGAGGAAATTTTATAGCTTTAAATGTTTATATGCAAAAAGAATGGCTTAAAATAAGTTATCCAAGTTTCCATCTTAAAAATCCAGAAAAAGTGTCACCAAGTAACTAGAAGAAAAAAAATTATTAAAGTTAAGAGTGTAATGCATTAAAATAGAAAATAAACTATAAAGAAAAGTCAACAAAATAAAACTGTGGTGCTTTGAAGAGATAGATAAAATTGATAAGCCCATAGCTACTCTGATCAAGAAGAAAAGAGAGAAGACACAAACTGCCAATATCAGAAATTAAAGAGAAGACATCACTACAGATCCTACAGACACGAAAATGACATAAGGGAATATTATGAACAAGTTTCTGCTAATTAATTCAACAACTTGGATGAAATTAACATTTGTTAAAAGAAACAATTTGCCAATATTGACACAAGAATAGAAAATCTGGCTAGCCCTATATCTTTAAAGAAATTGAATTTGTAATGTTTTAAAAATTCTCACAAATAAAACTTTAGATATTTTCAACATGAATTCTTTCAAACACTCCATGAATAAATAATACAAAACTCTTCCAAAAATATAGTAGGAAGAAACACTTTCCAACTCATTAAATGAGATTAGTATACTCCTCATACCAACACCAGGCAAAGACATTATAAAAAAGAAAATTGGGGTGCCTGGGTGGCTGAGTCGGTTAAGCATCTGACTTTGGCTCAGGTTATGATCTCATAGTTCATGAGTTCGAGCCCTGCATTGGGCTCCCTGCTGACAGCTCAGAGTTCGAAGCCTGCTTCGGATTCTCTGTCTCCCTCTCTCTTTGCCCCTCCCCTGCTTATGCTCTCTGTCTCTCTCTCTCTCAAAAATAAATAAACATAAAAAAAATGTTTTAATATAAGAAAAAAAATTACAGCGGCTCCTGGGTGGCTCAATCAGTTAAGCCTCTGACTCTTCATTCCGACTCAGGTCATTATCTCACAGTCATGAGATCAAGCCTCATGTCAGGCTCTGTGCTAAAAGCTTGGAACCTGCTCGGGATTCTCTCTCTCTCCCTCTCTCTCTGTCCCTCCCCTATTTATGCTTACTCTCTCTCTCAAATAAATTAATTTTAAAAAAAGAATATACTTTATCTCAAGAGTATGCAATTCTTCACATTAACACAGTAAAGTAGAAAATCAAATGACCATCTCAGTAAATACTAAAAAAATCATTTGATGAAATTCAATACACATTCATAACAAAAACTCTCAGAGATCTAGGAATGAAACTTTCTCAATCAGATAAAAAAAAATCTGTGAAAACCCTACAACTAATATCATGCTTAATAATGAAATATTATGTTCTTTTTCCCCTAAGATCAGAAATAATTCAAAGATGTCACTCTTACCATTTTTATTCAGGATTTCTAGAAGATTGCCTACCCAGTGAGATAGGCAAGAAAAAGACATAAACGACACAAATATTGCAAGGCAGAAGTACAAGTGTCTTCATTCACAGATGACATAATTTTGAACACAGAAAATCCTAAGAAGTTTATAAATAGAAATTATTTGAACTTATTAGTGACTTTATGACTTTAGTGAGAATGCAAGATACAAGGTCAATTTAAATATCAAATATATCTGTGTGTGTGTGTGTGTGTATAATAAAATGGAAAAATTTTAATGAAAAGTTTTAAATATTTAAAATAGGATCAGGGCGCCTGGGTGGCTCAGTCGGTTGAGCGTCCGACTTCAGCTCAGGTCATGACCTCACGGTTCGTGGGTTTGAGCCCCACGTCGGGCTCTGACAGCTAGCTCAGAGCCTGGAGCCTATTTCGGATTCTGTGCCTCCCTCTCTCCCCGACCCTCCCCTGCTCATGCTCTCTCTCAGAAATAAGTAAAACATTAAAAAAAAAAATTATTTTTTTTAATTTTTTTTTTTTTACTGTTTTATTTATTTCTAGGAGAGAGACAGAGACAGCTTGAGCAGGGGAGGGTCTGAGAGAGAGGGAGTCACAGACTGAAACAGGCTCCAGGCTCTGAGCTGGCAGTCAGCACAGAGCCCGACGTGGGGCTCGAACCCACGAACCACGAGATCATGACCTAAGTGAAAGTCGGACGCTTAACCGACTAAGCCAGGCGCCCCTAAAAAAAAAATTTTAAATAGGATCAAAAACATAAAAACTTAGGGATAAATTTAGCAAAATATGTACAAGACTTCTATACTGAAAGCTAAAAAACACTGCTGAAAGAAATAGAAGTCCTAAAGAAATGGAAAGGCATTCCATTTTCATGAATTGGTAGACTTAATATTGTTAAGATATCAATTCTCCCCTAAATAAATTGATATATTCAATACAATCTCAATCAAAATCACAACAGCCCTTTCTGAAGAATTTATCTGGAAAAGCAAATGACCCAGAATAGCCAAAACAACCTTGTAAAAGAAGAAAAGTTAGAGGATTTAAGATTACTTAATTTCAAGAGTTATGAGAAAGCTACAGTAATCAAGAAAAGTTGGAAGTGGCATAAAGATAGACAAGGGTTTAACACCATAGAATCCAGAATAGATCCCTACATATATTGTCAACTGATTTTTTTATCAATTCAATTTAATAAGAAAAAGAAAATCTCTTCAACAAACAGTGCTAGAATAACTGGGGAAGACTGAACCTCAACCACCTCACCACATACCAAAAACAATTAATTCAAAATTGCTGATAGAACTAAATTTAAAAGTTAAAACTAAAACTTCTAGAAGAAAATAGAGAATATGTTTGTGACTTTGAACTAGGCAAAAATTTCCTAGGATACAAAAAAACACTAACCATAAAGTAAAAATATTGACAAATTAGACTTCATCGAGTTTTAAAACTTTGTTCATTAAAAGATATTAAGAGGGGCACCCGGATGCTCAGTAAGTTGAGCATCCAACTCAATTTAGGCTCAAGTTATGATCTCAAGGTCAGGGGATTGAGCACCATGTCAGGCTCCATGCTGGGTGTGAAGCCTGCTTGGGATTCTCTCTCTCTCTCCCTCTGTTCCTTTCCCCTGCCAGCGCTCTCTCTCTCTCTCTCTCTCTCTCTCTCTCAAATTAAAAAAAAAAAAAGGGACATTAAGAAAAGTCAATATAAGGCTGCCTGGGTGGATCAGTTGGTTGAGTGTCCAGCTCTTGATTTCAGTTCAGGTCATGATCCCAGGGTCATGGGATCAAGCCCCATGTTGGTCTCTGTGCTGAGCATGAAACCTGCTTGGGATTCTCTCTCTCTCTCTCTCTCTCTCTGTCTGCCCCTCCTCTGTTCATGTGCACTCTCTCTCTATTTATATTTTTATTTATCTATCTTTATTTAATAAATAAACATTAAAAAAAATAATGAAAAAAAGAAAGATCAATATAGCTTGCCTGCTACTTATATTCAGGATATATAAGGAATTCTTAATCATAAAGTGACAAACAATCCAATAAAAACTGAGCAAACACCTGGACAGTCACTTCACAAAGGAAGATGTACCAACAAGTGCATTTAAAAGTACTCAATGTCATTAATCATCTGTAAATTCAAGTTAAAATTACCAAATGATATAACTACACACCCAGTAGAATGGCAAAAATGAAAAAAACAAAACAAAACAAAAACCCGGCAGCAGCAAATACTGCCAAAGATGTGGAGCAACAGAATGCTCACATATTGCTGGTAACGGTGTAAAATGGTACAACCACATTGGAAAACTTTTTGGCTGTTTCATATAAAGTTAAAAATGTGTCTGCTTTGGGGCGCCTGGGTGGATTAGTCGGTTAAGCGTCCAACTTTCACTTAGGTCATGATCTCGCAGTTCGTGGGTTCTGGCCCCGCGTTGGGCTCTGTGCTGACTGCCAGCTCGGAGCCTGGAGCCTGTTTCAGTCTGTGACTCCCCCTCTCTCTGACCCTCCCCTGCTCATGCTGTCTCTCTCTCTCTCTCTCTCTCTCTCTCTCTCTCTCTCCTAGAAATAAAAAAAAATTTTTTTTGAAAAAAAAATGTGTCTGCTTTGTGACCCAGCAATTACACTCATAGGCATTTACCCAAGAAAATTGAAGGCATATGTCCATTTCTCGTATTCAAGTGATATAATAGCCCCAAACCATAAACAATCCAAATAAATGAATACATAGACAGGGGATATCCATACACTGGGGTACAACTCAGCAATCACAAAGAACAAGCCACTAATTCACCAACAACACGGATGAAGCTCAAAAACATTATGCAAAGCAAAAGAATGCATACCCAAAACAATGTGCACTGTTGGGGTGCCGGGGGAAGGGGGGCTCAGTCGGTTAAGCAGAGTCTCACTTCAGCTCAGGTCATTATCTTGCAGTTTGGGAATTTGAGCCCCAAGTCGGGCTCTGTGCTGACAGCTCAGAGCCTGGAGCCTGCTTGGATTCTGTGTCTTCCTCTCTTTCTGCCCTTCCCCACTC